AACACCAGATCTAAGAAGTTCAGAAGACACAAAATAGGATAAACATGGGATGAAACACACACACGGACACACGCACCCCATATTCAAACTGCTGAAACCAAAGAAATAGAGTCCTGAAGGCAGCTAGAAAACAAAGGTGCCTTAAATGCAGAATAACAAAGATAAGAATTACAGCAGATTCCTCTTGAGAAACTATGCAAACAGAAGACAACAAAGTGACATATTTAAAGGGTTGGGGGGGAAAATCAACCCACATTTCTATACCTAGCAAAGACATCTTTTTAAAAATAAAAAGCAAAATAAAGACTTTTTCAGACGTGAACAAGTTTATCACCAGACCTGCATTAGAATAAATATTCAAGAAAGCTCTCCAGTCAGAAGGAATGTATCAGACGCTTGGATCTACACACAAACGCATAAATTGAAGGTAAATATAAATCACTCTAAAAGGTAATTGTCTGTTTCAAGCAAAAACAGTAGCACTGAATTGCAGGTTTATTGCATATGTAAAAATAAAATGTATGCCAGTGCTAGCCCAGAGGATTGGACACAAGAACTGGAAGTGAACAGTTTTAAGGGTCATGGAACGTATCAATTGTGGCAGTGGTTATATGACTGTGTTTGTCAAAAATCATTAACATATACATTAAAAGGGGTGAATTTTACTGTCTGTACGTTATACTTCAATTAAAAATTTAACTCTCATGGGGGAATCACTGAAGGTGGCAGAGCAGGAAGACCCTGAACGCACCTCCTCCCAAAGGCACTCCAAAATTACGACTATTCACAGAGCAGCTATTGATGAAAAAGACTGAGCCACTAGAAAACATCTTCCACGACTAAGACATAAAGAAGGAACTTCAACGAGATGGGTAGTCACGCGGGGTTGTGGGTTAGCCAAGACCCATATCCCCAGGTGGGCAACCCACAAATGGGAGGATAATTGCAACCGCAGAGGTTCTCCCTAAGGAGCGAGGGAGCCCCACATCGGGCTCCCCAGTCCAAGGGTCTATACCGGGAAGACAAAACCCCAGAGCATTTGGCTTTAAAGGCCAGCAGGGCTTATTTTGGGAGAGCCAGAGGGCAGTGGGAAAGAGAGGCTCCACCCTTAAAGAGCTCACACAAAACCTCGCACGCTCCAGGATCCAGGGCAGAAGCTGTAATTTGAAAGGAGCCTGGGTCAGACCCACTGGCTGATCTTGGAGAGCCTCCCGCAGAGGCGGGAGGCACCTACAGCTCACCCAGGGGACACAGACGCTGGCTGCGGTCACTGTGGGAGCTCGTTCTACCATGTAGGCTCTGGTGCTGGTAGATGCCATTGTGGAATCCTCCTCTAGCTTATTAGCCTCAGGACCCAGCCCCACCTGGGCCCACCAGCCTGTAGGAACCAATACTGGCCAAGCAGCTATCTAGGCAGGGACGCGGCTCCATCCACCAGCAGACAGGCTGCCTTATGACCCCGAACCCACAGCCGCCCCTGGACACATCCCTGCCCACCAGAAAGCCCAGGACCTGGCCCCGCATACCAGTGCACGAACACTAGACCTTATACCCCAAAGCCCTGCAGCTGGAGAGCCTGGGACCCAGCTCCACCCACCAGTGGGCGGGCACCAGCTCCGGAATCCCCTGGGCCCAGGCCCCGCCCACCAGTGAGCCTGCTCTAGACTCTGGGCCAGCCTCACCCATCAGTAGGCAGACAGCGGCCCCAGGACAACTGCGGCCCCACAGCCGGTCTTGGTAGGATCGAGCCCAGCTCTGAGACACCTTAGGCCCCTCAACTAGCCACCTAGGACCCAGCCCCACTCTCCAGCAGGCACAAGCTTTGGGACATCCCCGGACCCCGCAGCCAGCTGTGTCAGGAACTGGCCCCATCTATCAGCAGCCCGACACCACCTCTGGGACCCCTGGGCCCTGCAGCCAGACCTCAGAGCCTGGCTCTGTCCGCCAGTGGGCCTGCACTAGCCCCAGGACCTGGCTTCAGCCATCAGTGGGTGAAGCCCCGGGATCTCCTGGACCCTGCCCCTGCGCACCAGTGAGCCAGCACTAGACCCAGGTTCCGCACCCAGCCACCTCATGACCCAGCCCCGCCAAACACTCATTGCTGAGATTTCCAAACATAAAATGGTCTTTAT